TCCTTCCGAGGGCTGAGCGAGAGTGACTGGCCCAAAGTCACCCAGCTGGTTTTGTGCCCAAGGCAGTAGAACTCACATTCTCTTGGTTTCTAGCCTTAATCATTATACCAAACTGGCACTCAAGAGCAAATGCATGGGTGAATACCATCTAAAAATAAACTATCAGCTTCCATCACTGTTAACTAGTTTGAAATAGGAGTAATTTGGTCTTTTTTATATATTTGTGGGAAGAAAAGTGTACAGTAGTAGTTTTATAAAAGTGAATAGTTATGATGTCAACTAAAGTGTAATTCTCAACCTACAGGTTGTGTAGGAGAATAAATGGCAAACTGTACTTAGAGTATTGTAAAATTTATTTTAAAAAAGCAATTTAGTCATGCAGTAGCTAGTGTTGTATAACTCAGAAGATATAATTAAGATAATACATCCTACATGGACTAAATCTTTTGCTGTTCTAAAACAAATAAACAACCTTAAAAAGAATCAAATGCATTTGTATTTGTCTGAGACAAGACAATAGAAATACAGTTTTAATAGTATCAAAGCTCCAAGATTTGTCCAAACCAGAATCTACTCCTTCTTTTTCTTATTGTAAATCAAAATTTGAAGCCATGTTTTATGACTTGAATTTTTTTTAAAGATTGAACTATTAGTTTAAATGTTAGTTTACAAAATGCATATTCTGCTATTTAGTTAAAATGTACAGGGTGATTTGCAGATAGAGCTGCAAGCTGTTAAAGGTAAACTCAACTGCATATATTTCATTATTATTTTTTTGCTGCTTGGGAAATAGGAAGAAATACATAAGAGCCAGACATACAGTAATGGCCAAAATTGTGGAAATCTTTTGGGAAAAGTGTACAGTAGAAATGCTGCATTTGGTTAAGTTTCCACCAATTTTTCTTCTAATTTCTTTATAACTGTAGCCTTGTTCACTTAATACTATTTTACATAGCTTTCTGGGCAACCAGTCAACTCTTTGCACCATTACTTTAATTTTATTACGTTTTACAAGCTCACTAAATGAAAGAACATAAAAAACCCCAACCAAGTTGATAGCGATCACATAACACACTGACAAATGTCCTCCTCTCAGCTTCAATACATGACATCAATAACTGAATCCTACTGTGATCTGATTGGCTCATTGCCAAAACAAGATGACACCTGATTGGCTCTCTAAACACTCATGCTCATTGGCTACAGTCAGATGAAGGAAAGCTACCTGATATCAACCTAAGCAAGTTGTGCTTCCTTTTTCTGGTTATTTGGCTATAACTTTTCATAGAATACAGTACAGATAATTGAACAAACTTTGTGCATTACGTTCTTGATTAAATTATTTTTCCATTGATATATAATTTTATGGTACTACTCCAAAAAAAGTGGTATTATTAGCCATCAAACCTCAAAAATACACTTTTCCCAAAAGGTTTCCACAATTTTGGCCACTACTGTAGAAATAGTTTATAGTATAGAAAATGAAAGCATGCTTCACTGGACTTCAAAATAATCTCCTGTCCTATTGTACTGCATACTATTCAATATGTTTGGGAGGAGGTTATATTCACTGAAAGAATGGCCAGTGGTGGCGAACCTATGGCACGCGTGCCAGAGGCGGCACTCAGAGCCCTCTCTGTGGGCATGTGTGCCATGCCCTGGAGATGGCAACCATCCCTCTTCAACCAGCTGCCCGCTAACTCGTCGAGGTCCCACGTGGTCGGATGCATCCCAGCACGGCTGGTTTCCCTCCCCCCTGTCCCATGCCTCCTGGCCTCACATGCTCTCCTTTTCCTGGTCATGACCTACTGCATTGCCTCCTCAGCTGTCCGCCGGCCTTCCAGCTCAGAGGTGGCTTCTCTGAACTGGTGGCAGACTGCAGAGCCCCAGAGTGCGCAGGTTGAGGGGCCAGCAGGCTGTGGCTGCTGACGGACACTGTTGGCCCCATGCGCTCGCTGGCCTCTGCGGAGGCTGATGGGGTCAGGCAGCAGCTGCCCCGGCCCCTGCCTTGCCTTGCCCTGCAACAATGGCACCCCCGCCCCGCCCTGCCTCGCCTTGCCTCATCTCACCCTGCAGGACGAGTCTCCTGCCCACTGCCCCACCAGCCAGAGACCCCCTGGATCTCCCCCAACCCTGCCCGGTCCCCACAAGCATCCCTCCCCACAAGCAACATCGAGGTGACCACACCCACCTTGGCCACACCCACCCAATCTGCCATGACCACCACAGCCACGCCCACCCTGTGGACCACGCCCACCTGGCACCCGGCGATAAGCAAGTGGGTTTTGGGTTGCAGTTTGGGCACTCGGTCTCTAAAAGGTTCGCCATCACTGGAATAGGCTGAGACTACTCTTTGATTCAACACGGGGGTAAGAAATCCAGTAACCCTATTCACATTTAGGGCATGCAGACAATGGTAGCCTTTCATTTAGGTACCCCATCAGCTGATCCTTGAAGTTATAGCACACCTAATCACAAAGGAAATCATGTCTATCTTTGTAACCTTTCATTTCATGAATTTGCCTATGTATTCACAATTGTTCCCGTACTATATACTGTGTGAAAAAGCACTTCAATTGTCTTGAATCTTCCACCATTCAGCTTCATTTGATGACCTGTATTTCTAATATTTCTTCACAATATGTAATTCAGTTCTTCTAGTATAGGCATGTCAAACTGCCGGCCCACGGGCCGGATGCATCACACCAAAACCATGCCTACCCCATTGCTGGCAATGGGGAAAAATTGCAATACGTCGCGCGATGTCACATAACTGTGCATGTGAGGAGGGGGATTTTAGTTGTATTGGACAGAAACTGGTTCAGCTTTGTAGATTTCAAATTGTGTTCAGAATAGGCATTGGTTTATAATTGGTAGTGACTGCAACTACTCACTGCTACAGATAGTCCTCATTTAATGACCATACATTTAGTATCCATTCAAAGTTACAACAGTGCTGAAAAAAGAGAATTATGGCTGGTCCTCGCACTTACAACCATCACAGTATCCCAGCAATCACATGATTGTAATTTGGGTGCTTAGCCACCAGGCATGTGATCACCATTTGTGACCTTCCCAGCTGATTTCCAACAAGCGAAGTCAATGCTTTTGACTGCAGCAAAAAAGATAGTAAAATCAGGCAGTTATGTGATAACTCACTTAATGACCACATCATTTAGCAACAGACTTTCCAGTCTCAATTATGGTTGTAACTGGAGGACTACCTGAATTTATTAAAAATGCAGTAAGTCCTTTTTTTAAAGCTCACAAGGATTTTTTTCTTGGGACATGTTAGACAATTGCTAGCTTAAATCCTGAAAAGCATGCTTGTCTCACATTGCAATATGATTTCATATTGGAACACATGGAGGATTTGGATTTAGGGATTAAATCAGTGTCTTTGAATTTTTCAAAAATATTGCAAAATAGGCCGTTACCTACAGCTGATGAGCTCCAAGAAGAGCGAAACCTGTTAAAATAGGTCCTGTAGTATTGGCCTTAATAAGCAGTTCTTGGCATGATCATATCTACCCCTGCCTTTTTTAAATTCTTCACAAATGAGCAAACCAGAAAAATTCTAAACACAGCCTGGAATCAACTATTAGTGCTGGAGTTTATTAGGACTTTACCTGGCATTCCTGTTGATCGGTAATGATAATAATCTGGCTGTTCTGAGCATTTTTCTATTTTTCTGCATCGTAGCATGTATTTTTCTGCATCATGCTTTCCTGTTTTGATGTACAACACATTTTTCCTGATTTATAATCTTACAAGAGAAATGAGATGACAAATGTTAAATGATATTTTTAGAATTTAACATTCCAAACACATAACTGGCATATCTGAGAAGAACTTGGATAGATACCGCTGGTTTGGAATAACTGTTCAGGTAGTCCTTAAGTTACAACAACAGCCATTTATTTGGACCATAGCGTTCAAAGTTACAACAGCATTGAAAAATATAACTTACAACCGGTCCTTTCACCAACCATCATTGCAACATCTGTGATCAAAATTTGGGTGCTTGGCCACCAACATGCATTCACAACTGTTGCAGCCTTTCGGGTCATGTGATTGCCATTTGCTTCTGACAAGTCAATGAGGAACTTGGATTCTCTTAATGATTGCATGATTCACTTAACTGCAGCGATTCTCTTAACGACATTGACAAAAAAAGGTCCTAAAATAGGACATGGCTCACTTAACTGCCTTGACTGTTAACTGCCTGTTTCCAGTTGTGGTTGTAAGTTGAGACCTATTTGCAGTATGTATGTATGTATGTATGTATGTATGTATGAATGAATGAATGAATGAATGAATGAATGAATAAATAAATAAATAAATAAATAAATAAATAAATAAATTGTTACTAGTGATTCCGAATTCCTGGTTTGTTTTATAAAAATCAATGTGATAGTAAAAAAAAGTTCTTAACTATACTTAAGAAATATCATGTAACTCCTTAATCTTGATACACTCATTTCTTAAACTGATTTAATAATGAAGCCAACAGGCTTCATTATTAAAAGGACCAACCCTCTGTTCATAGCCGCAAGATATTTTTTTCAAAACTACCCTCACCATGAAAATTATAATTGCACCATTAGGGGCTTTATTTAATAGAAATAGAAAGAAGAGGTTGTGCTCTAATGAAGTGTAGGAAGAAGCACATATTTCCCCTTTTGAATCTCCCAACCCAACAGTATATTAACTGTTCTTCTAGCTTATTTGCTGGTGGTTGCGGTAGAAAGTTAATTATTATGGATCTTTATTAAAACAGAGGTGTGAAAATGTCTTTGAACTTCTGGTATTTGCTTCCTGTTCTGCATCGTTTAGCTCAGTTAACATATAATAGTCTACATTTCCCAAGTGGCTTCTATTGGTTGTTTATTTGGCTGTTTTCTGCCATAACAGATGAATAATGAAAGAGTTTGTGAATTTCTTCTTGGTATCTAAATTCTCTCCGAACAGCCTGCTAAAATTCTAAATTGGTTTTTAGGATGATTGAAGAAAGTGGAAAGAGGAGGAGAACGATGGCAGAGAAAAGACAGCTCTTCATGGAAATGAGTAAGTAGAAGTCTTAAAAGTTTGAAACTTCATTTAAAAATGTGTTGCAGCCTCTTCAAAGAATGTAATCAAATCCTGTTTCTCCTAAAATTATTACATTGAAATAACAGGGTGTTGTTTCTTGAGAGTTTATGCCCTAACTTCAGTCTTTAAATAAGGGTGGCGACCTTATATTACCTTTTCCCATTCCACATTTATTTCTCGCTGTGATGGTAAATTTGGATTCTAGAATATACCATTTCATACTCCTTATGCAATGCCACATAAATGCAAAATATATGCAAAATGCAAAAATGCCGTGAATAAATATTCTTTTTAATATTGTAGTTAACCATACATTGGTTACTTTTTATGTGGTGGAATAATTGAACACACATGAGAGAGGGTGGAGTATGATAAAGAATTAGTACAATCCAGATAAAAGTTTACAACTCCTTAAGGATTAAGTTTCTAATGTAGTTGGAGTTGGAGTTGGACATCATAATGTAATTAAAGTCCTCTTTTCATTTTAAAATTGAAATACATATGGAGAAAGCTCTTTGCTTTTAATTTGTAGGGGCTCAGAATTTTGATGTCATCCGACTGTCAACATATCGGACTGCCTGCAAACTCAGATTTGTGCAAAAAAGATGTAATTGTAAGTAGAAAACATGACTCTGGAGGAAAGATAGAACTTTATAAATTAACAGTTCAAACCAATTTTTCAGTTATGATGAAAAATGTGAACATTTTGAAATGATAATAGAAAATGAAAAAAAATCTTACTCTTTCTGTTTAGTGGAAGAATTTTCTGTTACAATGCTTTTCAAGTTTGTGTAGGATTTTCACGAAAACTAATATTATTCTAAACGTTTTGGTACGCTATCACTGGTTTTATACAAAATACTAAATACTAAGCCTGAATTAGCAAAACACAATATTTATTTTATATAAATGTGTGTTTATATAATATGTTATGTTCAAGATACAAGGTATACTTTTTATTTATTTACGCATGTACAGGTATACCTATATTACCTATAAACAGGTAGTCCTTACTGACCACTTGTTCAATGACTGTTTGAAGTTGTGATGGCACTGAACAAGTATACTTATGACCAGCCCTTGAAGTTCTAGCCATTGAAGTGCTCCTGCAGTCACCTGATCACAGTTTAGGTGCTCATACTTCCAACAGTTGCAGCACCTTTCCTGCTACCTTCCTACAAGCAAAATGAATGGGGAAGATGGCGGGGAAGGTTGCATGTTGCTTGTTAAGTTCCCCACCCTTCCTGCACACCATGTTGCGCCCTCCTACCTTGGGCTTTCCTGCATTCACACATACCTACTAGCAATCTCCTTCCCAGCCTTCCTATTTATTTTATTTTGTATTTATTTAGGCAGGTTTACATTTTTGGAGTAGCTGAAGGGGTGGTTAATGAAAGTGTCTATTTTAGGACTAACATATTGCTTAGATGTTCCGTTTCAGAATGCTAAGAAACTATGCCTTTGGTTTTCAGCAGTGATGATCACTAGAGTCAGGCAGAGAAATGAAAACTCGGGCCATATGCAGCTCTGGGAATGGGTTGCAGTACAGTCAGTCCTTGATTTATGTTTATTTGTTCAGCAACTGTTCAAAGTTACAACTATGCTAAAAAAAAATAGGTATACGACTAGTCCCCAGAGTTCTGGCCCTTGCAGCACCCCTGCAGCCACAATCTGGGTGCTCAGGTCACCAGCTTGTGATTACAACATTGCAGGGACTATGGCCATGTGGTCACCATTTGATAAGCAAGATCAATGGGAAAGCTGGCAGGGAAGGTCATACATTGCTCCAGTAAGTTGGCCTTACCCGTAGCAGCCTCCATCTACATGCAGCCTCCATCGGCACCATCTAGGCCCTCCTCTAACTCATACATGACCTGCATCAGGCCTCCCGAGTCCTTCCCAAACTCCCTCAACACATGCATGGCCTACACTGGGCCTCCCAAGTGATTCTCTCCTTCTCTTGACTTGTATGTGTCTTGTGCCGGCCCTCCCAGGGCCTATAGTAGCCCCCATCCCTCCACAACACTCCCTTACTCCTTTCTTGGGATCCGCCACTTCCTGCTTACCAGTCTGTGCATCTCATGATTTTGATGACAACCAGGACTGCTGGGATTGCCATCCTTAAGCAATGTGGTCATATGGCATTGCACTTTATGACCGTAGCACTTAGCAAGGGCAATGTCCCAATGTCATTATAACCCAAAGAATAGCAATAGCACTTAGACTTATATACCACTTCATAGTGCTTTACAGCCCTCTCTAAGCAATTTACAAAGTCAGCATATTGCCCCCCAACAATCTGGCTCCTTATTTTACTGACTTTGCAAGGATGGAAGGCTGAGTCAACCTTAAGCCAGTCAGGATCGAACTGTCGAACTGCTGGCAATCAGCAGTTAGCAGAAGTAGCCTGCAACACTGCATTCTAACCACTGTGCCACCATGGCTCATACCGGTACAGTTTTCTTTTTTCAAAAAAATGGGGGGAGGGGGGAAATGTCTATTCTAGCTGCTGAATCTAGACCAGACATGTCAAACTTGCAACGTCACGTGACGTCACACAATGTATCGGGACTGTTTTGCCATTGCCGGCAATGGGGTGGGCACGGTTTCTGCATGATGTGTCTGGCCCATGGGCCGGCAATTTGACACCCCTAATCTAGACAGATGAAAGTGAAAAGAAAGGATATGAGGAGTAGATTTAAACTTCATCTGTGCTATTTACAGAATTTGACAAAAGATCTGGGGTTCATTTCTTTTACACGCTGTTCACAGCAATCAGAATTTAGAAATATTGTCCTAACTTATCACTTGCTTCTGTTCACCTCATCTTGACTTGATTATCTGTTCACCTCATCTTGACTTGACTGAAAAATGCAAGTGTAACAAAGAGGGGAAAAGATACTTCCATCTTGGTCACTGTAGATATCTTGAATCTTTTATATGCAATCCAAAGGATTTTTTATATGTTCCACATTGACTGCTATCAAATGATGGTGATGTGGAAGTTAGAGAAAATCCTCAATGTTTACGTACTTGAAAACAAATGTGTCTGATTAATGGTAAGTCCTGTGTCAGTGGCGAAAGTTTTGCCATTCATGAAATAGAAGATAGTATTCAGTGAGGATTGTGTAGTCTAGTAGTTCTCAAAAGACCTAAAGCTGAGGGTGCAATGTACAATTTTGAAGATGCTGAAAGGCGGGGCAGGGAGAATATGCTAGGAGGAAGTATGTGTGAATGATAATTGCATTATGTGGTACACAGCAAATTCCTGTTACATGTTAAAAATAATGTTGGAAGAAGAGGGTGTATTAATGAATACATAGTAATATAGCATCAAGAAATTGTGGATGATGGTATCAGAGGAATAATATGGGGTAAAACTTCTCACAATGGAGAACTCATGTTGGCATAGCCAACATGATTGTGTTCACTGAAACAAAAAAAAAAGTTCTCTACGGTTAATTATTAACTTTTGGAGCACAGCCTGACAGTTTCATTCATGAAGTCACAAAATTCTAAGGGTCATGGCACCGTGAATTTTAGAATGCTTAGTTTAAGAAGTTAATAGGTAAATATAAGTTATTTTTGTGAAGGAAATCTCTGCAATTTTTATTATTACAACATTCTTTTATAGAATAATTTCTTTTTTAAATATATAGCTAGAATTGTAACGAAGGGTGTATCTATATGTAGCTATAAAATCATAGAAATATAAGACGCTGTTTAGCCCTGGAGTCCAACTTCTGGCTTACAGCAGGAGTTAATTATTAAAGCATCTTTAACAGATGGTTGTCTGGCCTCTGCTTGAACATGTGAAAAGGAACCATCACCGCCCTGGATAATTGGCACCACTGTCAAGCTGTTTTTATAGTGAGCATGCTTTTTCCTAACATTCAGCCAGAAACTGTCTTCTTGTAATTTAAACCCAGGAACGTGCAAAATTTACTGATTTGATAGTGGAATATTCTGGAGAACGTTCTCCTGGACCATGCCATTCTGGAACATCATGTCTGGGAAACTTCAAATTGCTTCTGATTTGTAGGATTTGCTTCTGGAAATCACTAAATTATCTAGTATAGTAGATCAGAGAGGGAACAGAATGTTTGGTAGTTGAGTCTTTTTATTTTAAATTAATCAGTTTATTGAGGCATATAGGTTGCTCCAATCCAACAGCTTACTATCCCTAGTTAATTTATTATTCCATGAAATAATGTTTGGGATAGACCTTGACCATATGTATGACCCTCCTGTAGTCTCCCCCGAGGCTAGACATTTCCAGTTCTTTCCATTTCTTGTAAGTTTCCACTCTATGATTCTCCTATTCTCCTATCCAGTTTCTTTGCATCTTCCTGAAATAGTGGTGCTCAGAAGTGGATAAATACATCAGGTAGCCTCAGACCAATGCAGAATATAATAGTAATATTACTTTCTGTGAATTAGAAACTATACTTCTATTGAGGCATCAAAAAGTCTCATTTTGTCTTTTTGATACAGTAGTTGTCACACTGCTAGTTCAGCTATAACTCTGAGGTCCTTTTCACACATTTTATTACCAAGGCAGATATTCCCCACCCTGTATCTACCTATCTACCTATCTACCTATCTACCTACTTACCTACCTTTTCTCTCTCTCTCTCTCTCTCTCTCTCTCTCTCTCTCTCTCTCTCTCTCTCTCT